AAGGAGATTAACTTAGGATCTAAGGGTGTTCAAACGCCTAACACTAGATCACTAGCCTAGGAAGCAAAGTATGAAAAGTGCAGAAGAGTGCGATGAACACTAACCTTGAACACGAAGAACACGAAGAACAAGCTTGGGAGTTTATCTCTCTAGAAAATTGGCCAACACTTCGACAATTCAGAATGCAAATGAGATTTTTGGTCGGAGGGGGAGGGGTATTTATAGAACCCCCCACCCAACGGTCACTACACGTGGCACCCTCCCAATGGCCACATCAACGGCCACCAATGGGAGGCCACCACGTCACCAACGGGCCAAGCTACATATCAAGAGCCCAATGCCGGATCAGACTCTACGGCCTACACGCTTGCCGGCTTTACAAATGCCAGCAAGCGCCCACAACGTCCCATTTGCTTGCCAGGTTCACAAACGCCAACAATAAGGAGACGGCAACGGCCAGGAGCGTAATGAACGCCCGTAACGGCCACAAAACCAAAGGAACAAAGAACCCACAGTCATCGGCTCCTCATAATGACCCTTGATGATATCTCTCTACAAGCGATCTGCGCACAAGGGTTCTCCCACAGGGTTACCTTGGCCAGAAAATCGCCATGAGGGTTGGATTCAGGGGGTCTACGGAGAGGCCGCTTCGGCCAGGGACTCAAGCAACTCCTTCACCCCTCACACTCTTCGGCCTGAAGCAGTGGGGGACTGGGGGACTACACCGGCCTCAACAAAACAAAAAGGAACAATACAAAGAACATGAATGTAACCACAAAGCATGGCCACATCGTCCACGCACCACAACGGCTCCTCATCGGCCAGAGGCACATAACATCATCAACAACGGCCAACAAGCCACTTAAGGCAAGGACACTCATCGTCCTCCGCCAACAGTTAATCATGATGGACTCTTCGGCCAAGAACACGAAGGCCAATCAGCGACGGCCAAAAGGAGTGCGCAAACACCCTCATCGGCCACCCAAAGGAAAGGACGCCATCGTCCTCAAAAGCAAGGTTCAACCTCAGTGGCCTCATCGGCCCAAACATAAACTTCAACCATCAACGTCCAGGAAAGGGAAAGCGTACCTTCAACGGCCACCATTGAAGCAGGACACTCGTCGTCCTCAAACGAACACATTAAGGAAACAACGGCCTCCCCGCCCACAGCGAGGAACGGGAAACAGCTAACGGCCCGGGAATGCCCGCATCGGCCAAAAGCACTAAAGCACGGGAATCTACTCTCCTTCACTTCGTCTACGTCTCAGCTTAGAGAGTGGGGGACTCCTGATGGAGTATATGGGTCTGAGCCCCCGGACCCACATACTCAGAAGAGCAGAAAGCACAAGACACTGAGTGGCGCCCTCGTCGGCCAAGGGACCCCCGTCGGCCGAAAAGGTGCCAACTCAGATTATGGTCCTGAGCCCAAGGAACCCGGGTGCCCTCGTCGGCCGTGCCCTCGTCGGCCGTGCCCTCGTCGGCCACGCCCTCGTCGGCCACGAAGACCTCACAGAACCGGATTTTATACTTACTCATTTGTACAGCCCATTAGTGGCTTTGTATTCGGCCCAGTAGCGGTCTAGTTGTAAATGGGCCTCCCAAGCCCAAGGCTTGGGAGCCCAGCCCGTATTTTCTCTATAAATACTCCCCTTGGGAGTAGTTATAGGGGTGACAATTTCATTCTATTGAAGCATATTATTGCACTTCTCTCTCTAGCTCTCACTTCTCTCTAGATATACTCTATCAAGCTGAAAATTGGTATGGGTAAACTAGACTTAATGAAGAAGGTGCTTAAAAAAATTCATCAAAAAATTCTACCATAAACCGCCCCAAATGGCGATAGCCTGACTAAGCTTCCTGTAAAAAGGCTTATTTGCATTTTTTATGAAAGTTCGAGGGTTTATTTGATAGTTCTCTCTTATTAAAAACTTGATAGGAGATTATTATGGCCAATAGAGTTAGTTGCATTGAAAAAGTGCATTATTGGAAGTAATGAATCCGAGTTTGGGATTATGTATATGTTTATCTTCTAATTTTTATGTATATTGTTTAAAAAGTATCTAAACTTTTTGAGACAACAAAATTTTAAGTTTTTTTAGGATTTTTTTAGAAACTACAGTAAATAGCTTGTAAGATCGAGAAAGTCTACAACTTTTTGCATTGATTAGTCACATTAACTTATTATATCAAATAAAACTAAATTGAACATTCAACTTTTATCAAATAGTTAAAACGTTATATTTTTTCTCTTAACACCTTTTTTATCACTAAAAACTACTAGTAACAATTACTAAAAACTATTAAATTATTTATTCAACTAGTTATGTCAAATATAGTCTATGATTTAACCAACTCAATAGTAGGCCACAAATTTTTTAATCACACAAGGAAGCCATTTGTAAATTTCATTTGTAACAATAGGAATAACCCTCACCACCAAAAACCCAACCATGTAGGTTGCTTGAAAATATATAAATGATTATCAATACATTAGTAGTAAAATAAGATGTTATGTTTGTTATTCGTTGTGTTTTTGAGTCCATGAATTAGCTTCTTGCAAAATAAGATCTAGCTACATCACTTTGTTATTGCTTTTTATCAAGTAAAATGTGTTAAAAGTCCTCGTGTTATAATTAATTATGTGCATAAAACAAATTTTATTGTCCAATAAAAAATGATTAGTATCTTTATTCATATAATTTAGAGATCTTAACAAATTTAATTGCATCTTCAAAGATAATTGATTTTTAAATTGCTAAATTTAATGCTTCAAGTGTTATGTGCATGGTTAATTATAACACAAGAAGGTCTAACGCACAGTTTTTAAAACACAAGAGACTGCACATAATTTATTAAACATATAAAATACAAGGATATATCACAAGGTGGGGTGGTTCTGTACTAAACGGTAAAGGTTACCATGCCTTGTACGGTTGTACCAAAATTTTGATATAAAAAATTGAAATATGGTGTTAACAACATAGCATGTCATACTAAAGCTTTCAATACAACATATTATTATATGCCGGGAAAAGGGTTAGATAAGGCTTCGAACTTACAAAAAAATGTCAAATAAGGCCTTATATAGGAGGTTTTGTTTGGCCGACGCCATTTGGGGGGGGGGGGGGGGGGGGGGGGGGGTCGATGGAAATTTTGAATGAAACTTCTTGAGCATCGTATTCATTAAGTCTAGTTTACTCATACCAATTTTCAGCTAAAACTTCAATCGGGAAGACATTCAAATAAATTCTTGAAGATAAGTGCGCAGTTTTTAAAAACGCAGTTATCTTCAAGAATTTTTTTGAATGCCTTCTCGATTGAAGTTTTAGCTGAAATTTAGTATGAGTAAACTAGATTTAATGAATAAGATTTTCACATAATTTCATCGAAAAATTCCACCGAGAACCGCCCCAAATGGTGCCGTCCGGACAGAACCTCCTATATAAGGCCTTATTTAACGTTTTTTTGTAAGTTCGAGACCCTATCTAACCTTTTTCTCTTATATGCCAAATGAAATATATAAGAATGACATTGAGTGAGATGCTTAAACTATGGAAAAAGGACAAGAATATCACCTCTACCCTTTCAAAACAAAAAAGTTACTAGTTTTCCTTTTCCCAAAAGTATGACTGAACTTTTATTTTAATTATCCATTTTTTCTTCTTGTAATTTATATTCAGTCTCTACCACCAGTCTAGACCTGTCCACCCGCTGCCAAAAACCGCCATCGAAAACCGCACCCGGAAAAGTTAGTGATAGAAAAATTTGGGAGTCACATAAAATAAGACAATGGCATCATGTTTTTCCAATACACTATCTTATATTCTTATTAATCACATTATTATCCATATGTTAAAGTTGTCACTAAAAACATTTAAAACAATACTATTAATGACTTATCGTCTTGTTCATTTTTAAGCAAGAATAATTATGATTTTGTTTCAACATTTTAACGCTCACGCTCTCCAAAAAAATTAAACAACTTAGACATAAATCGCAATAGGGATATGTATTAAAAAAAGTAAAAAAAAAATCAAACATCATGAATATAAAATCCTATATCATTATAGTGATGTTTTGTTTCATCTAATCATTTTTATATCGAGGACCAACTCTTCCACACCAGGATACTACTAAAGGTCGACTCATTTGGGAAGGCAGTAATGGTCTACCAATATAGATAGCAGATATTAATTTAAGACTTTTGTTTCATAACTTGTTCACAGATACCATACCGAAAAGAAAGCATGGTTTGAATTTGATTGTAAATTTGCCTTTTTCATCATATAATGTCCATATTATGGTGCATCAGTTTACCAGTTTTTATCAAAGTATATATCAATACCATTTCGAAACAGATCGGTATCATATTGTATCATAAATGTAGGTATGCAAAAAAGTTGGTAAGTTCAATATTTTTTGGTATGGTAACTAGTAAGTAGCAACTACGATATAACGCAGTTTCATTATTTGCCCCCCCCCCCCCCCCCCCCCCCCCACCTTAGGCTTATTCACCCAATCAAGATAGGAAAAATGATCCTTGGAAAAGAGATTTAGGTCCAAATCGGTCCAAGGCAAAAAATATCGACCACAACCGATTAGAATACAACAAAGAACACATTCTGTTTTTTTTTAATATGCTTATATTTAATTGAAGAATGGGGTATGTTAACGTAAAACTAATGATTATATGAGATGTTTTTTATAACTTATAAATAGCTTGTGGATATTGTCCACTTTGATAATTCAAGACCTCACATCTTTAAAATGTGTCCATACACGAAAACTTCAGGCCCTGCGTATAAGAACACACAACTTCGTGTGCGAGCGATGTGAGAACTTCATGTTCACAACACACCCTCCCATCTCGAACATCATGCTGATAATGTGTTATAAACAACTTGTGGATATTGTCCGCTTTAGTACTTCATGACAATGTAGAGTTTCCTTTTAATTTGTCTTTTTAATACACAATTGAATATGTGATTAAAATAAAACTAGTGGATAAAAACATGACTTTGTCCATTTTAATATCTATAATAGTAATTTTACAACATGATTATGTTCAATTTTACATTATAGTAATTCTAACGTTTTGTTTTCTTTTTATTTTTTTCCCTAACGGTATACACACAGTAACTTTATTCATGTTTTGTCCATAAATTTAATAACGGTCAAGGTTTTATTCAACCCTGTCCTGTCCAGGATATCAGGACTGGGTATTCTTCAGTCCATGCTGTGATTCAAGATTTTGGGTTCTGGACTGGCCTGGTCTCCGACAGAACACCCTAGATGGTTGCCTTTTACTGATGATAGCTTTGATATTCAAGAAGATGGTAGCTTTGGAGAGTAAATACTCTCCACGCTCACTGGTGCTTTCATCTCAAAACACAGATCTCCACCATCACAGCAAACATGTCAAGGAAGTGCAGGAAGCTCCACTCTGTCAAAGGAGAAGAAACTGACACGCCCATGCTCAATGTTACATATTTTTAAAGGAATGCCATGGCAGCGTCTCTCAAGATCTTCGATCTCTTGTTGGGATGGTGGGGATCCTCTACAAAAAATAGATGCCTCACTTTCATCAGAATAATATAAACACAGGGATACAAGTTTGTAAATTCTAAACTCTCAAGATGTGCACATTGAATCAAGATTTTTATAGTTCAAGCAATCCTCAAGTCAATGTTTTCAACGTAACCAAAAGTTAGTCAACAGTGATCACATCCCATCCCCACCTCCCATATTATATGTGGGATTAGACTAATGTAGCATGCGGAAACTATCAGCACTTAATGCTTAATGTTGCTCACTATCAATACTATCAACTCCTCAATTTTCTCCTCCTGTGAAAATGCCAACACCACCACTCAATACATAATTGAAAATTTTCACTTAACAAAATCAACAAACAGGGGCGTAGCCAGGACCGATGAGGACCAATGTTTACTCTGGACCAACTATACACTAAAAACATTATATAAAAATTTTAAAAGCGTAAATAATGTGAACATAATGATTAAAATCCTTTAAAATTCATAATAATATTTTTAAACAGTACATACAACATTTGAAACTAAAATGTTAACTGAACACGACGTTCTTTGACCTTAGCAAACTCATATATGACAGACTCAATGTCGATTAGCCAGAAGAGCTAAAAGTTCCTTTTGAATATCCGGGGAGGTATACTTGGCATTTTGTGGAGCATTACTCAAGACAATATCATTCACTTCAGTATTCCATTCTCGGTATATTTAATCAATTCAATACCATTTCCACGATTGAGAGATGTTCCGGACTCATCATGACCCCTAAATGCACAACCTTGTAAAGTTAACCACAGAATACTTTTATTGGTTGTCCAGTTGTCCTTACACGCAAACGATTTTTCACCACTTCTTCTTTACCGATCCTAGCAATGACTTTGTCAATATGTAGACTTGGTTTCATTAAGGACTCAGCAGAAATCACACTCCTATTATGAGGTGATAAAGATGATGTATGAAGATGCATAAGAAACACGCATTCTTTACCTTGAGAAACTTGTTTCCAATTATCAAAATCAATAGTCACTAAAGCCGAAACACAAGAGGAATGCACAACATCACTGAAGAGAAAGCATGGAAAACAATACGCCTTATGTGTTGTTGGAGAGTATTCCAATCAATTAAATTCATTGAACCAAGTGGCTCGATGTATCTTATCTTTGTATACTCGGCCTTTCTAAAAGTTCAATTTCGGTTGATAAGGTCCAAACATCAAATAAGATCATCTAATTTCATCTCTTTTCTCTAACGGCCAATAACTTATCGTTTTGCGTTTTCCCGAATCTCACTCAATTACAAGTGCATCAGAAACTACTTCCTCTTGAGCGGATGAGATATTAGGAGTTTCAATTGAGACATTCAACTCTTCTTATTTTGTGTGCTTGTACTAGGCTTATAAAACGAACACAATGTGATTTTTGCCTTTTTGGAAGCAGATTGAGTAGTCATACCTACTAAAATTAGCAAAAAATAAAAAACTATTCAATAATTTATTTGAATTCATATAATTCATATTAATATTTTAAGAAATTCACAAATCACATTTGACATTCCTAACTTTCTATTTCACAATTCAAAGCACACAAATCAATTGTGACACCCTAAGCGACTAACACAAACTAAATTAACAAATAAAATACTTAAACTAAACTAAAAATTGTAAAACCTTGGCGTAGCAGAGGAGCAGCCGGGCATACGAGCAGAAGCAGACTGGAGTCCTCAAGGCTCGAGAGAAGAAGACAGCAGTCTTGATACGAGCTGGAGCAGACGGCGAGCAGCAGAGGGGCGTCCGTGCGTTTCCGGAGTCCAGCGATGAGAGCGGAGGAGCGCTGGAGCGGGCGAGCAGCGGGCGACGTCCGGCGATGAAGTCTCTGTGCGTCAGGTGCCAAGGTGCGTGATGCGTCGGAACGGTTGGATGACGTCTCCGTGACTGTCGATTGGGTGCTGGGGTTCTTTGCTTTGGATTAGGGCCGGGCAGTTTTTTTACGGGCCAGTTGCACTGGGTCAATTCCAAAAACTAATTTACAGTAATAAATATACATAATACAATAAAAAATTGCCCTGGGCCGGCCCAGCCAGGCCACCCCTCCCTCAATACTGATCAAAGTTAAGAGTATAAACTAAACATTTATTAACACTCATTATAAACATTAAAAAACTGTGAATGAAATTAATTAATAAAGTAATCACATGATGGGGGGTGTTTGGTTAAGCGCCTATCAGCCAATTTTTGGGCTGATTTGACTATTATTAGTCTTTTGACCAGATAAAACAGCTAATTGACGTGTTTGATAAAACAGCTTTTTCATTTGACTTTTCGTCTTAAACAGCCAAAAATCAAAATGCCAAAAACATCAGCGTTTAGGACTGGCCGCTCATATTTTTCCCTGTTTTTCTTCATCTACCCACTGCCCACATAAATCGCAACCTTTCTCTCACCATATTTTCCATTACTATTTTTTATTCTTCTTTTTTATACCTGCTATATAGCTCTACGTACACACGGAGTACTCTTTTAATTCTTCTCTATCGAACTTTCTATTTGCTACTCCCTCCGTCCCATTGTACTTTGTCATCTTTCCTTTTTTGGTTGACATCTGTGAGTAGATGTTCACAGACAAAAAAAACTTTCACAAACATAGGTGTGTACAAAAGTGTGTATAAGAGTGTGTACAAAAGGTTTTTTTTGTTTTTACTATTCTTATTTCTCATCTAACTTAAGTAGTGCAAAGTCCATTGGGACGGAGGTAATATTTTGTATTATTTGGCTATGGATATATATGCGGTAGAGAGCAATTGCAGGGATGGTCCGTTTGGTAACTTTGGTTTACTTTTTCAAAAATTCTATGACTTTCTTCCATTTTAGATTTGAAGGATACAGGACGTCATGATATGGTGCAGCTGTGATTATAAATTGTTGTAGAGAATGATTAATCGTAGTATTTTTTCAATTAATAAAAATGGTTTTTGTCAAAAAAGATTTAAGAAATGGTTAGATTAATTTTTACTGTTAAAATTGATTTTAAAATGTATGATACGTGTATACAAAAAAATAATTGATGTCCTTAAAAGTCATTTTAACAAGTTATTAGCTAATTGTAAACAGTCATTTAACCAAACATCATTTTACAAACAGTTAATAATATCGGCTAATCAAAACAGCCAATAGAATCTGCTATCATCAATCAGCTAATACAATCAGCCAATCGCCAATCGCCAATTGCCAAACACCCCGAGTAATCATATTAATCGATAAAAGAAAAGTCTAAAACTCAAACAGTTAAGCTCTTAAGGAGTTTTTTTTTTGGAAGAAGCTCTTAAGGAGTTAAGGAATAAGGAAGGAAGTTGGAGGAGTACCTGAAGGCAGATAGGTGAAGCCGTGATTCCGGCGAAGGAGTGAACTATGTGAGAGCCTGAAGGTAAGCACAGCGCACCAGAAGGCAGAAGGCTGAGGAAGTGAGGAGTGAGGCTGGCAGGCTGCTGCCTGTTGGGTCCGTCGGGAAACTTGGACACCTGGACTGTGAAGCCGAGAAGGGGGAGGGAGGGCGGCCGGCCAAGCGTCGGTGGTAGGGCGGTTAGACTGGTTAGTGGTCAACGATCGAGTCAGCGACGTTGGCATTTGGGCCTGCTCCTTTGTTCGTTCCACTGAAGTCTGAAGACTGGTTAGTCCCAACTCTTGCAGTTGCAAATCAATCACAGCACAAAAATAGATCATAGCGATAGTGATGCAAATTAGTAAGAGTTGGTCCTTTACGTACGGGGCGACCTCGAGAATCAAAACGGATGAATACTTACTACACGAATATTAATTAACTTAATAAATAGATTAATTAGAACAACTACAAGTCACAAGCAAATACATACTACAAATGATAATTACAATTTACAAGTTCACAATTAATAATCAAATTCACAATTTCACATCAAGCAAAGTTTAAAATTCACAATTTACAAGTTCACAAATAATAATCAAATTCACAATTTTACACAAAGTTCACAATTTCACAATTTACAATTTCACAATTAAAAGTTTAAAAAAATACCTGAAGCAGTCAACTAGTCAAGCAGAGGCGAGAGCTGCAGAGCTACTTCTCGGTCTTCTCCTGTTCAGCTGTTCTCGAGTTAGGCAGACCGCAGACCGCAGCAGCCAGCAGACAGCAGACTCAGCAGTGCAGGCGGGCAGGCGGTGCAGCACCGGGCCACCGGCGCACCGTGCACCGTCCAGTGGCCGTCCGGCAGGCGGCAGGTGAGAGTCGCAGAAAGCCAGAGACTGAAGACTGAAGTCGACGGCGTCACTCGTTTGGGGTTTTGCCCGTTTGCGCAGATCCTGGATTCCTGGGAGCTGGTTTTGACGTTTTTCTTTTTTGGGCCGACCAGCAAAGAAAGAAACGGACTTTTTGTTTTTTGGACTTCAAAATTCAGGTTGGGCCTAATTTTTTAAAAATTGAGACTGGGTCTAATTTTTAAACACCTATACTAGTTAAAAAAAAATCAGCATGGGTCTAGGCCTTGCCTGGCCTAAGGCCCCAATCCGCCCCTGCGGTTAGTGGTCGACGATGAGTCAGCGACGTTGGCACTTGGGGCCTGCTCCTTTGTTCGTTCCACTGAAGTCTGAAGACTGGAATCTTTTGTATCCCTTTCCTTGGTCCCTAATACTACGTAGAATAATCTTAGACTTGCATGTTGTTTGAAAATTGAGACTTCACTGTTGTAGGTTCCAATTTTAAACTTTGTGCGGATGGAACATAAAGTCTTGAACTGCATGCCATGTATGATCGATTGACCTTATGCATGTCATAATATGAAATGTTATTTCTTGGTCAATCACAATCAACTTTGACTAATGTTATTTATTAATATGAAATTATTTAAAATGTAAAAATTATATCAAAATTTTCCTCATTCAAAATATTTTTCATAAAAGTATAAAATTTATAAATTATATACAAATATAATAATTAAAATCATCGTCCAAAGTTTGTCATTATTGAACACGAAAAGTCAATATGACGAACCTTTTTGGGATATGTATGTTATATGTATGTATGTTATACGTAGTATATGTTTGGGTATATATAGAAAAACAAAAGAGGAGGAGAAAATAGTTTGTTGTGTATTCCAATCCAAATAAAATAAGCAGAGGTAATCTCCCTATATACAATTCATGCAGCCTGAAATTCTCTTCCGTTCGCTACTGCTCGGCTAAACGATCGGAAATTGCTTGGCTGCAATTTGGTAAAAGAGTCCTAAATAAACACAACCTTTAACTAATCATACAAAGCACATGTACATACTAAAATGTAACCAAAAATAAATGTACACTAAAATACATATATCAACAACACCACCACCACCACCCCAAGATGGAGTATGGGGGTCACAAATGCCCATCTTGCCAAGCAAATAAGAAAATTGAGATGCTCCAGGTACTTTAGTTAATAAATCTGCAGGTTGTTCAACAGTGGATGTATAGGAAGGAGAAATAGTTTCGGCCTGTATATGATCCCGAATGAAGTGACAATCAAGCTTTATGTGCTTAATTAGTTCGCTCGTGGTACACTGGATTGGAAGCAATATGCAGAGCAGCCTGATTGTCACAATAAAGTGGTACATGTGAAGAATGCACAACTCCAAAGCACCCTAGCAGGTTGCGTAGCCATATCAGTTCACAAGTTAAGGCAGCCATGGAGCAATATTCAGCTTCTACTGAAGAGCGAGAAACTGTAGTTACCATAAAACAACCAATCGCGCCTTGTAGCGTTCAACTGAGCCATCACTCTTGTGTTTAATTTCATACACACATTTGCAATAAATGGCCTTCTTTCCATGTGGGAGATCTTGTATACGCCAAGTACCTGTTCGTTCGAGTGCTTCAATTTCACGACTCATAGTTGCTTGCCACTTCGGGTCTCGTACCGCTTCACTAAAACTGGAAGGTTCTTTGGTTGTTGATATAGCTGCAAGGGAAGCACGGTGCGGAACCGAAAAATGATTATAATTTACATAATGAGGTATGGAATACGGAGTGCCTGATTTAACCAACGAGGGTGAGTCAACGATAGGAGAGGAGTTTATTTTCAAGGTGTTAATCTGGACGTCATAGTCATGATGCCAAATCGGCATGTGGCATTGTCATGTGCCGCGTCGTATGGGGTTTACTTCAGGTGTGTGGGTTGAAACACTTCCGATGTGTCCAGCATTCTGTGTATCCTCCTGGGAAGTACTACCTCCGTCCCTTAAAACTTTGCCAAAGTTGACCAACACGGAGAATAATAAAGTAAAAACTGTTTGGTTGGGGTTTGTGCAGAGGAGAGAAATAACAGAAACCACAAAATAATTGATTAAAAGCGAAAGTGGCAAAGTTTTTTGGAGCGTCCCAAAAAGAAAAGATGGCAAAGTTTTAAGAGACGGGGAGAGTATTATTTTCCTCATGCATGTGCATGGTGTCATGTATTTCAACCTAATGTGACCCCCTCATTGTGATTGCCTCCAGATTATTGTGTTGATGGAATGTCATCATATTCACACGTGTTGGTGATGAATCATCCAATGCATGTACATAGTGTTCTTGTATCCTTGCTCGAGAAAATACGTCGTGGTCATGGGACTCATTATTTGTGATGCCAAAATTATTTTCAACAAATTTGAATGGAAAAATGGTTTCAACAAATGTGATCACGAGAAATAAAGTGTCGACGTTTTTCCAAGTCATATACCTTCCATCCTTTTTGTGAGTAAGCGTATCCCAGGAACACACATTTTATTCCACGGGGTGCAAATTTGTCACCTGTTGTTTCCTTAGAATGTGCATAACACAAACACCCAAATACCCTAAGATGGGTATATACAGGAGGTTTGTT